GGGGGGGCATACAAATTTAGAAGGTTGTGTTTTGTATTAATTTTTATTTCTAAATAAATCATACCTTCCAAACCTGCCCACAGGAGGGCATGTTCTTTAAAAATCACCAAAATTACAGCATGTATATAAATATGGATCATTGGATTTTCAAATTTCCAACAGCCCTTGGACGCATCATGTGCTGTTGCACGGCTGTAATTTGGTCGTAGGCACGAGGTCACAAACCAAGTGCAGAAGATAATCACACCATTTATTATTGACCTCAAATGTTTGTGGTTATAAGTTTCATTTTGTGTCACAATGACTCTAAATGTCCGCTGAACGATTAACATAATTAACGGCTCAGAAGAACTGTAAGGTGGAGTGATACATGCAGAGGAAGTAGTCCCAGTGCTGTTGTACTGTACACCAGCACTCATGAGACGACTCCTGTCCAATCAGAATGCTCCATCACAACTTACTATTGTAGAATATAATAAGTCAGCACCGTTAAAGGAGCCGTCCTGCACACTACAGTTACCTCTGATACTCTGAGTACATTTTGCTGATAATACTTGAGTACTTTTACCTCAGTCAGATTTTCAGTGTTGGAGTTTTCCTTGTAATGGAGTATTTAGAGTATTTTTACTCTGTGGTATTTGTACTGTTACTGCAGTGAAGGATCTGAGTACTCTTCCTCCTCTGAGACTGAAATAATCTGAATTTATCTTTAATTTGTGAAGCTTCTGTAAATTCATTAATTGCTCCTCTCTTCCCATCTTCCTCCTCCTACTCTTCCTCTCTCCACCTCCCTCCCCTCCTTCTCCATTCTTCTCCTCCTCCTCTGCCTCCCTTCTTCTCTTTCCATTCTTCCCCCTACCTCTCCTCCTACTGTTCCACCTCCTTCTCTTCTTACCGTTTGTCCTCCTCCTCCTCCTCAGTCCTTATCAGCTCTCAGGAATGTCTGACATAGTTTCACCTCACTGAAACTTTCTGCAGTTATGACTCTGTGTGTGTGTGTGTGTGTGTGTGTGTGCGTGTGTGCATGCGTGCGTTAATGTGCGCGTGTGTGTGAGTGTGTGAAGAACAACAGAAGAAGTTTCGTTTAGTTGATAAAACTGAGTGACGTCATGTTTGAACTGGTTGCCTATAAAAGTGATCTCCTGTGTGTGTGTGTGTGTGTGTGTGTGTGTGTGTGTGTGTGCGTGTGCGTGTGTGTGTGTGTGTGTGTGTGAGATCCCGTCACAGGTCAGACTCTGAGCATTAACATGTTTCTGTGTTTTTAGTGAACTAATCCTTTAAGATGAGTAAACTTTGGTCCCGACTTACAGAAACGATAAAGAAATCTTTGTTATTTAAATGAATCAAATAAATAAATAAATAAATAAACAAATAAAAATCAAACACAGTTTATTGAATTTAATGAAAACGTCCAAATGAGCAGAACATTTTACAAACCTGTTCAGAGACTAATCCTGTTTGTAGCTCAGACTTTGAGGTTTAACTGAACTCAAGTGTTTCTCTGCCTGAGTGTAAAACTCAGTCTGACCTCTCTCCTCCTCCTCCTCCTCCTCCTCCTCTGATGATGATGATGATGTCATGCTGTGATTTTATCATCAGTATATTGTTGATAATGTCAGTTGGGTCTTTGTGCTGTGAGCGCCTGTTTCCTGAGCTGCGGATGTGAGGTAGTTTTATTGTTCTGGTTTTGCCTGCTGACGTGTTTTTGGATAAATCACATTATTCAGTGTTGATGTGGAGGCAGGAGGTTCAGCTCAGGACAGCTCACAGTCTCTGGTTGGTCTCACCTGAGGAGGTGTTACCTGATGAAGGTCTGAGGGCCAAGACGTTGTGTATTTAAATAGAGTTTATTGCAGCTAACACGACAGCGTGCAGGAATTTAGAATTTCCCCTTAAAGTTAAGATTAAATCTTAACTTTAAGGGGAAATTCAAGATAAAAGTTTTTCACAGAGAATCTTAAAAGGTGTTAAAACCTCACTGAGATAAAGG